GCCCAGGCCAATCTGGAACTCCTGGGATCAAGCAGTCCTCCAGTCTTGGACTCTCTCAAAGTGCTGAGATTATAGGCATGAGCCACCACGTCCAGCTGGAATTTTTAGAGATTATTTTTGAGGCTTCACAAGAGAGTCCAGCATGCAGCCTGGGGGAGAACCGCCGATGTCACGTGGAAAACCCAAAATCTCACTTTTGATACAAGGAGGGTGCCCAGCCCTGTAGTGACCAGAGTGTCATGTCCGCCGGACCCAGGGCCTTCCCTTCCTGGGATGTGCTATTAAACCCTTTATTTCTCCCTAGCCATCTCTGAGCTAGTTAGTTCAGAAGCCACAGCAGCCATTGGTTGGCCAGGTCGTGTCTCTCTTTAGCTTCCTCTGCCTCTAAAAATGCCGGGAGTCACTTGGTGTGGGCTTGATCACTTCTTGGCCTCCCATCCTTGGTCTCAGGAATCACATCTAGGGAAGGGACTCTCCTGCAGGCAGCTGGGAGCACCCAGCATACTTAGATTCTTCCCAGTCTCACGGCCACAGGCAGGCTTTTCGTGAAATTGTCTGCCAGCTCTGACCTCTGTACTAGTCAGAAGGGGTGGTCCCGGTCGCCCTGTCTCTCACAGCTGAGAACTCTTTGGCTCCTTCCCTATCCTGCACCTCAAACCAAAAATTATGTCATTTCAATGCTTCTTTCAAAATGCTTCTTGCCATAATGTCTTCCTATAGATTGTTGCAGCCGGCCCCTAGTGTAGACCGCCACATCCCACAAACGAATGTTTGTGCCTCTTGTTAACCCTTCACAATAAGTCCTTCCTCGAGTCCTGCCTGCCTTTCAGAAAACTGGCCTTTCAGACCATTGCTCCCCGGCAGAGTTCTTCAGCGGCGTGTTGGCCACTGCAAGTTTACCCAGATCCCTGCCTCTGGAAAGTCTGGCCCAGATCCACGGTCATATACTTGCCTCCAACTCTGCTGAGCTGCATGAGTACCCACCCTAGCCAGGCTAACATCCGGGCACTTCCCCACCTCTGCACACCATCTGTCTTCCTGCCCCAACTCCCCATCCCAAGGCCCCTCCTATGGCCGGGAACCCACTCACAGCTGCCTGACCCTTCCTAGGCTTCCTGAATGTTTGGTGCAATCTGGAGCCCATTCAGACTAGCATCTTAAATAACCTGGGACATATTTCCAGAAGCCAGAGGGGCTCTAAAAGAACAATAGGCTGATTAGCTTCCGCTCTCGTTAAGAGCTGGCAAGAGAGATGATTGATGACTAAACAACCGCGACGCCTACTGCCCAACAAACATAAATAGACATGGCCTAACTGATCAAATAATGCTACAATTTTCCCCCTCGGAGGGACCAGTCTGACTGAAGCTCTCCCTCCCGATCAGGGAAGCATTCTGGATGCCATGACGTCCAGCGGACATGTGCATCGCTTCTTGACAACTCCACCCCTCCTGTTTCTGGGTCACAACTGCTTCGAGATCCAGTCGAAGGAGAAAAACACACAGTGCAGTAGCATGAGAAAAAATGGGGCATATGGAGAGAGGAGAGAGCCAGGATGACTTGGCACATGTGTGACACACACAGACGCTCCTCTCATTTCCGACTTCAGCCAATTTGAGATGCGGGTTGCCTTCCACGGGATGAGATAATTATGCACTTGCAAGGACAGCACATGCGCCTGTTCCAACTCAGGATAAGTGCTTCCTAGATTCCCAGAGACTCCAGACTTCCTCCTCCCACTAAATGTGTTTTAAAAGAGGTCTTAGAGCCCAGGAGTTCGATCTTAGAAAAAGACAAATACAGTCAAAGTCCAAGGCAAGTTCATCCCTTTCAAAGAGGGAGTGCTCTGTATTCTATTTGTTGCTGAGGAGGAGAAGGATGAGAATGCAACTAAATTTAGACTGAGCCAGGAGTCCTATCATAGGACCAGCATAACTGGTTCTGAGAAACAAGAGGCTTAAGTAACTGGGAGCTGCGACTAATCTTGAATGGCCAAGAAATGCAGCCCAGGGATCTCCTGGTTACCACCACCCCTCCTCCCACCTTCAGTACTGATTTTAGGGGCCAAAGGATGGGAAAGGAAGAGAGGAAAGAAAAGTCCTTGCTGCCCCCTTAGAGGAAGGAGGGAGGAGAGGGAAGGAGGGGCAGCCCCTTCCTGCTGCCTTCCTGCCCTGGCTTCCTCTCTGCCCACTGTGCAGTGAGTGCAGCTCAGGGCAGGAGCCAGAGAGACAGAGAGACAGAAGGGAGCGGGGAGAGGAGAAAGAGGAAACAGAGAGGAGGACCCACACCTGGCTTCTCTGTCCTCTCTTCCCTCTGTCCTCCCAGCTATGGATCCTTCCCAGACAGCTCTGACACCCAAGTCCGAGCATGGGCTCTGCTCCAAAGCCTACGTCATCCTCACTGGCCACCGTGATGCTGTCATCGAAGCACCTAACCTCCCGTAATTTGAGCTTGGGGACCATGGACTTGCCCAGCTGAGCACCAGAGTCGGGGCTAAAGAGGCCTCACAACCAATGCTGACCAAGGTCCCTCCCCTCCCTTGGAGGACTCTGCCCCACGCACAAGGCCACATTTCATTCCAAACATCACTTAGGACAGAGTCTCTGGAGAGAAATGAGCCCCCCACTGCCAAAGGTCTCTCAAGCCCCAGTACTGATTCCAGGGAGAGATGTGAGGGTGTGGATCCACTTCTCGACGTTCCATGCAAGCAGACGTTGTGGGGTGAGGCGAGAGCTGCCTGCCCACCAACCCCTCCGCCACGCATATTTATTTTTTCACTTTATCTGTGTTTAAAATTGTAAAGCTTCCCATGTTTCCTATAACCATTAAACCACAAGTATGACCCCCAGCTAGTCGCAGTTAGCAGCTTGGTGTGTATATCCCTCCACATTCTCTGCTGCCTTTTTTGCTAAATGAGTTCATTCTCTATAACTCTGGAACTTGCTGTTTTGACCCAGTGAGAAGTCATGGGCCAGGTCAGCACTCGCACACTTATCTTCATCTTTCTGACAATAGCATGACTCCCCTGCATCTCAGTCAGTCCCGGTTTAAACAGCAGACATCGACTTCTCACAGTTCTGGGGACTAAAGTCCTAGATCAGGGTATCCGCAGATTCTGTTCCTTCCTGGTGTGCAGATAGCTGTCTTCTCGCTGTGTCCTCACATGGAAGAGCAAGGAAGGACACTGATGCCTTCATCGCCTTGTGAAGACACCAGTCCCATCACAGGAATGCCACCCTCATGACCTCATCCAAGCCCAGTCACCTCCCAAAGACCCCAATGCTGGACGGGGTGCAGTGTGCTGCTCTGCGGATTCTTTGACTTTGTCACAGAAAAGCATTTCAGAGTTAGTCCCAAGTATAGTTTAAGACAGAATTTATTAGAAAGAAGCATTCCTAAGAGCAAGCACAGGTCCCTTAAGACAAGGTACATGCTTGCTTTTAATAAGAAGTTTTATCTACTTTTACAACCATGACTAAGCAAACCATGAACTAAGAGCGGTGGGCTGCAGGTGTCTGGTCACGAGTTTTGATCACCATCTCTCCACCTTCTGAGGTCATAGGGACCTTCTTCTAGATAATTGAACTTACTGCCTAACTAGACTTGGGCTTTTCTTAGAACATCGTGTTACATGTATTGGGTAATTCCCTATTGCTTCTGTGATTTCCTGCACTGGTAGATCCACATTCCAGCCAGCAAGGTGGTCAGGTCTGGTCAGTTCAGTGAAGGTTGTGTACTCATAGAAAAATGTCTGACCGCTTACCCTATTTTAATTTAAATTACCCACAAGAAACTCATCTATCTATGTCTGACCTGCACTGAATAACCTGCCTCAGTCCCACCTCCTAATACCATCCCACTGGGGACAAGGGCATCACCATAGGAGTTCAGGGTGGGGGTTCACCCACATTCAGTCCAGAGCACCACAGGATGGCTAGTATGTCATCCTCTCTGTGGAGAGGTGCCCAGACTGAGTGTGGTGATGCACGTCCTTTCAACCCATATTTGAAAGTGGAATGCCAGTTCCATAAGGGCAGGAGCATTTTGGTCTCATTCACTATTATGTCACCAGCATCTGACTATACTGAGCACTCAGTAAAAAATGGAGAGAATGAATGAATGTACAAGTGGCATCTGACTAGCTCCCCAAGTGCCCATGTCTCGTTTTTATACATTTGTTCCTGAATTCATTTGCTGAGAAAAAAAGATTTACATTTTAGTGGGTGTTGCTAGACTGCGTTCCCTAAGATGGTGACAATTTATGCCCCATACGTCATAGCAACATCCATGACGGCTGCTTTCCTGCGTTCTCGCAGCACTCCTGTCATCGGGCTTCAAAATTTCACTAAACTGCTGTGTAAAAGAGCAGCATCCCATGAGGTCTCTGATGTTCTTTCCACTCCTCGTGGCCCATCCCCGTTCCTGTCTTTGTCTGTTTCCCACTGGCTCGTCTTTTCCTGCCCCTTTGCCAGAGGCCGCTGTGTGCGCATGACAGTGACCTTTCGTCTGGCACACACATTGCCAATATTACCTTCCCATCCACTTTGATCTCGTGATTACGAGGGGTGACATCACCGAGATACTGATGCTTTTGTGACTGAGTCACTGTCACCATCCTCTCTTGTTCATGTGAGGGATACGGTCACCATGAGCTCAAACAGAGAGGGCATCCACCTGCACCCTCCAGGTGTCGGGCTGCCAGCAACTCTGTCAGAGCCTGCTAGTCCCAAGTTGACTCTGCACCTTGGATCAGCAATAGTACCGATGGCAAAATGCAGTTCAATGACCAAATACGAGCGTTGCAGAGGAAGTCGATCATTTAAATGATATCCTTAAAAGTCATCTGAATGAGGAAGCACAGAATGGCCAAAGAAACTAATTCCCCCCCAAAATCGCCTAATCCACTGAATTCTAATTCACACCGAGCGCTTATCTCTTCTGCCAGACCGGCAATGAGCTTCTTGAAGCATCTCACAGTGGCACTGTCTTCTCTTTTGCAGCACTCCCTACAAAGTGAGACCTGTGGCCATCAAGCAACTCTCTGGTAAGGCCCTGCTGTCATTTTTTAAATTAAAAGTAAACAAAAAATCTTGAGCCTGCCCTTGTGATTGACTATATAGTAGCTAAGCATTTGAATCTACTGCTGGATACCACTGCAGAATATGAAACTTTGACAACCTTCAGGGTCCCCTCACGCTGTTCTTGAGGACTCAGCAGAGGTCAGATGACATTCCACCCTGGTCTTCTTAGCCCAGCACCTGTCTTCCCTGTGAGCTGCTATGCCCCTACAGGATGCCTTAGGGTGCCTCAGGTTGTCATTATGTTGTGGCATTAGAACCTTTTTCTTTTTAGGTCTTTTGTCACTTTTATTTATGTGTGATTTATACACAGTGCCTATTCTGATGAGCTTTGAAATATGTGTACACCCTGTGACCGTCACCAAAATCAGGACACAGAGCACTTATACCAGCTGGGAAAGTTCTCTCCTGCCCTTTCTGGTTTGTCTTAGGCCACAACCAACCCATTTACAGACACCATCCATTAGATTTGTCTGTTTGAGAGTTTCATGTGAAAGATATTATATAGTTTGTGTACTCTTTTGACTAGACGTAATGTTTTTGAGACTCATCCATGTTGTTGCATGTATAGATAGTCCGTTCCTCTTCGTTGCTAAGTAGAATTCCATGGTGTGGACATACCACAGTATGTTTTCCATTCACTTTTAGATGGACATTTGGGTTATTTCTAGTTTGGGAGCTTTTATGAATAAAGCTGCTGTGAGCATTAAAGTACAAGTATTTGTGGGGACATATACAGAAGGTGCCAACAAATATGTACACATTTTTAAAAAGGAAAAACTGTATTAAAATTGTAATACTCAATATACACCAATAAAGGATGAGTACAAGTCACGTTTGACTGTTGCAATTACAGGAGGTACTCAAAGTGGTTACCATCAGCGTCCACACACTTTTGATTATGGTAAACTAAAAGTAATACATAGATAACATCTCTTAAAATGTATATATATTTTTTGGCACCCCTGATATTTTCATGTACTTTATTTCACTTAAACAAATAACTAAATTCCTAAGATACCTAAGGCCTTGCCAAGTTTTTTATAAAGTTAAATATATACTTAACTGTCTTACTTGAGCATAGGATGGAATAGTCTATAAAATGTCCTCAAACATCAATCTCATCTGACATTTTTCTCATGAGCTGCCTAGGGCATGGATTTTTGGAAGGAATACATGGGGCATATGGTATCCACATGGCATCACTGACTTCTCCAATGTAGAATTATTGTTCAGCCCCTTCCTTACTCTTCTTTGGAAATAAGTCACTAAGTCTAGCCCAAATAGTCAGAGGTTCATTTTCTCTATATAGATATTTATTTTCTCCAGCACCATTTGTTGAAAATATTATTTTTTCCTCCACTGAATAATTAGGACAACTTTGTCCAAAGTCAGTGGACTGAATACATGTGAGTCTTTTTCTGGACTCTGTGTCTTGTTGAATATCCATGTCTGTCCTTAAACCATCAGCACGCTGTCTTGATTACTGTATATTGATAATAGGTCTTAAAAGCAGGTAGGATAAGTCCTCTGGCTTCTTTCATCTTTTCCTAAAATGTTATTGCTTTTATTCTCAGATAAGTTTTAGAATCAGTCTGTCAACTGCTACCAAAAAAAAAAGTCTGCTAGGATTTGATTGAAGTTTCATTACATATACAAAACAATTTGGGAAGAATTAATATCTTAACCATGTTGAGTCTTCTGATTCATGAATATGGTATATCTCTCAATTTATTTGGGTTTCTTTAATGTCTTTCAGTCATGTTTTATAGTTGTCAGTGCAATGTTCTTGAATATATGTTAATAATAAATCCATTACTAAGTACTTTGCATTTTTAATGCTATTGTAAATAGACTTTCTATTATTTCTACATGTATTATTTCTACATTTCAATTTTAAGTAGTTTTTAGTTTACAAAAATTGACTTTTGTGTATTGACCTTGCTAAACTCATTTATTAGTGTGTCTTCTTGTTTTTGTAGATTTTCTATGATCCTGTAGGTGCCTTTCTATAACTGCTAACAGATAATTGCTTCTTTCATTTAAATATTGATTGCCTTTTATTTCTTTAGTGGATTTATTCTCACCTACTGTACTGGCTAGGGTATCCAGAATGATAGAGGAATTGGTGTAAGAGTGGAGATCAATGTTCTTAAATCTTAGAGGAAATGTTTGAAGACCGTCACCATCCATTATGATGTTAGCTATAGCTTTTGGTGTAGATGCCCTTTATCAGGTTGAGGGGCCTTTATTTGTTTGTTCTATTTCTAGTGTGCTAAGAGTTTTAATCATAAATTGGTGTTGAATTTTGTCAAATGTTTTTTCTGCCTCTAGTGAGACAATCATGTTTTTCCCCTGTTGATAGTAAATTATACTGATTGATTTTAAAACTTAAACTAACCTTGCATTCCTAATATAAACTCTATTTGACCATGACATATTATCTTTTTGTTTTGGATTTAATTTGCCAGTGTTTTTGCATCAGTGTTTATGTTCATCTGATTTTGGTATTAGAGTAATTCTGGCCTTATAAAGTGAATTGAGAAGTTTTTCCTCCTCCTCTATTTTCTGGAAGAGTTTGTGTATGGTTGGTATTATTTCTACCCTAAATGTTTGATGAAATTCACCAGTGAATTCATCTGTGCCTAGAGTTTCTTTGTGGAAAGGTTTTCAATGACAAATTCAGTTTGCTTAATATATAAAACTACTCAGATTTTATATTTCTTTGAGGGTTAATTTTAGGAAGAGGTATTTATTTCATCTAAGAATTCATTGGCATTATATAGTTTGAAATATGTCTTTGTTATCCCTTTTATGCCTGCAGAGCTTTAGTGAGATCCCACTTTTCATTCAGGATATTAATAATATGTATCTTCTCTGTTTTTAAGTTAATCATCTAACTAGATTTCCAAGTTTTATTGATTTTTTTTTCAAGCAGCTATTGGTTTTCTTTATTGTTTGTTTCCTAGTTCATTGGTTTTGCCTCTTACCTTTATTAGTTCTTTCCTTCTACTCTCCCCAGGTTTAATTTGCTCTTTTTGTTTGTTTGTTTGTTTTTGCTAGCTTCTAAAGATGGAAGATTGTATCGTTGATTTTAGGCCTTTCTTTTTTAATATAACAATTTAAAGTTAAAGATTTTTCTCTAAGCATACTCTGTCCCATAAATTATCATGTGTTGTATTTTTCTTTTTATTCAACTCAAAATATTTTCTAATTCATCTTGTGGCTTTTTCTCTGATCCATTTTTTATTTATTTAGAACTGTATTATTTAGCTTCCAAATATTTGTGTATTGTTCAGTGTTCTTTGTGTTACTTATTTTTAAGTTAATTCCATTACGACTAAAAAACAGACTCTATGATTTCAGTCTTTTTAAATCTGTTGAAATAGGTGGTTTATCTTGGTGACGATTCTATGTACATCTGGAAGAATGTGTATTCTGCTGTTATGGATGGACATTCTATCAATGTGAATTAGGTTGAGTGGCTGACAGTGCAGTTTAACTTTTTTGTATCTACTTATTTTTTGTCTACTTGTTCTATCAATGACTGAGAGAAGAATATTAAAATATACAACCATTGCTGTGGATTTGTTTATTTCTTTTCTCATTTCTATCAGTTTTTGAACTTCATGCATTTTCAGTTTCTATTACTGGCTACAGACTTGGGGTTATTGTACCTCTCTGATGGAGCAACCCTTATTTATCCTTATGAAAATTTATCCTTATGAAAATTTGCATTTAGGCTGGTCTTGGTGGCTCGGTCTGTAATCCCAGAACGTTGGGAGGCCAAGGCAAGTGAATTGCCTACGCCGTGGGTTTGAGACCAGCCTGGGCAACTTGGCGAGTCCTTGTCTCTACAATAAAAATCAAAAATTAGCCTGGTGTGGTAGTGCGCACCTATAGTTCCAGCTACTTGGAAGGCTGAGGCCGAAGCCCTGCCAGAGCCCAGCAGATTGATGCTGAGGTGGCCGTGAGTGTACCACTGCACTCCAGCCTGGGTGACAGAGTGAGACTCCAGCTCAAAAAAAAAAAAAAAAGGAAAACTTGCCATTTACCCTTAATACTCTTTCATGTTTTAAAGTCTTTTTAATCTCCTATTAATAGCGCCACTTCAGCTTTCTTATGCTTAGAGCTTACATGTTATATCCTTTTTCATTCTTTCAATGTATCCGACTTTATATTTGGAATATATCTCTTATAGGCAGTATTTATCAATTTGAGCCATTTCAGCCTTTTAAATTGATATTTTTAAAACCATCTACATTAAATATAGTTATAGATATGAGTGGATTTAAATCTACTGTCTTGCCATTCACTTTCTATTTCTTCTTTATTTTTTTTCTCTTCCTACTTCTTTTGGATACTGTACATTTTCTAATTCAGTTTTTTCCCTGCTCTTGGTTTATGAGCAACAAATGCTTCTTCATTCTATTTCTTTGTGGCTGTTCTTGGTTTTACAATGTCATTGTCATTAACTTACCACAACCTACCTTTAAATGATATGACCCCACTTGACCTCTGTGTAAGACACCACAGTGTCCTTCCCTTCCTCCTTCTCGTTCTTTGAGCTTTATCAGACATTTTAATTCTACAAGATGTGTTTTTAACCCCACAGTACACTATTACTAATTTTTGCTTCCAACAGTCAATTGTATTTTTCGCTCCATTTCTTGGTGTGGATCCAGGTTTGCATCAGGTGCTGATTTCCCTCCTCCTCCCAAACACCTCTCATCATGCCCCATAGTGCTGGTCTTTGGACAAGAAATTTCTTCACTTTTTGTCTGAAATTTTTTTTACTTCTCCTACATTTTGAAGGAGCATTTTCTTGCCATGTAGATTTTTAGTTTCACAGTTTTTCAGTGCTTTAAATGCTTTTTCGTTGTTTTTTAGCTGGTGTAGCATCCAGTGATAAATTTTATCTTTGTTTCTCTGTAATGTGTCTTTTTTCCTCTAGCTGCTTAAGATT